CAGCTGGAAGCCAAACACGACGTATGCACTCGCCAACACGGAGCAGGAGAGCCTGAAGTCCCCACGCGCACCAACCCTACAGGGTAAACGTGAGGGATGTCGGGCTTTTTTTGGACTGGCCAACTTGTTTCTTCCCTTCAAAGCCTCGTCCAAGCAAACTGCTGGCTTCTGCAACGCAGCTCTGGATGGTTTAAAGCCGTAAATCAGCTTTGGCTTCTGCTTTTGCAGGAAGGGCTAGAGGGACATGAAGGGGAAGGGAAGAGGACTTCTCCCCAGGCTGCTCTCTCCTATCAGGAGCACTGCAAAGCGCTGCCCTGTCCCCTTTTCCACTGCACAATATCCTTTTTATTTCTGTTTGGGGAGAAGCCAGACACAGCTTCTACTTAACATGAAGCTCTCCATAAAACCTAACCTGTTCTCACAGCTCTTCTAGAATGATTCAGGCATGGTCATACCTCCTGAAATTCAAAGTAAAACTTGAGTTTCCAGGGAATTCTCCATGCTTCTTGCGCGGCTTGCTGCAAGATGCAAGGAGCCTCTGGGAACGGGAAGGGCCTGCAATCCTGTTTCTGTGTTATTGATTGCTCCTGGAAGAGCTCCCCGACGGTCTGTTTGATGCACGCCCTGGGAACTTACTCCTCCATCACCTCCTCAAGGTTCATCAGACAACGCTGCCCAAACACCGCCGCGTCGGGCACCCCGAGGTACGGTCAGACACCGACGCCGAGACCTCAGGGACAGCAGGAGCGACACGAGCCAGCCCCCTGGGCACGGACCCTGCACGAAGGGGAAGCAGAAGTGCTGACTGACCGACGGGACGGTTTCACCGTCTCTGCAGACACCACGGTTAAACCAGAGGCTGGGGAAAGGCTGCCCGATATTCCTCTTCTTCCCAAGCAGGAAGTTCAGTGTTGTTTCTTTCAATAGCAGCACAAAAATAGATGCAAGTAAAGATGACTTGACTGAAAGCCAGCTCGGGGCTGATTAGGATAACACTTGCAAGTTGTTAAGCAACACCACTACCCCAGCTCAGTGACAGCTCATTTTTATAACACTCAGCTTTTACGCTTGTCATTTGTACACTTAAAGATGTACAGCGAGACAGAGGGGAATTTCCGACAGCGGTGTTCCCGTCGATGGACTGCCACTGCTTGCAATTCAACTGTAAAGCTGCCTTTATGAATGGCTTAGAATGCAATAATTACGACTGAAAAGGCATGGGAAGTTTACCTCTTTCACCTCCAAACGCACCATTCTACACAAGCAGCATCTTTCCCCTCCAATTAATGATGAAGGTGACGGATTAAGCGACTTCAAATACCGGATTACCATGTCCCATTTAAATTTCTATGAGAATATTGATTCTTGTTGTGCCTTTTTTACTATCCTTGTGGAAATACCGTAATTAGGTCGCTTTTTATGTTTACAGATAATCTGCATTCTCAACTGGAGGTATTCAGAGACTGACAAATACGCTATTAATCAGACAAAGGTGATGGCACCCATGCAGGTACTTTACAGCAAAAAAGCAGCGCTACGCTTTCCATTTCCATCGTAATAGCTCATGGCACTGACGGGATGCTAAAGGGTTAACAAAAAAGACCTTTGTGAGGCCAACTGTAGCTAGAATACGGTAAACAGAACATCCTTGGGAAAGAAAGTTCAGCTGGTGGCTTGTAGCTGAGAGCTGTAGATGCGGCTCGAAGTTGGAGATGCCAACCTGCCTGGGAGCTCTTAAGATGGTTATCTCTTTGTAACAGGATCAACAGATCCTGAATGGGTTCCTCAAGTCACTCTGAAGTCAGCAGACACTGACCTGGACCCCCAAGGTAAGCGCAGAAGGACCAGGCCTTGCCACTCAGAAGTCAACTATGACCATCTATGGAAGGCCCAGAGGTCATGGAAAACGACCATTGAGAGACCCCTCCACAATGACCACTGGGGACCCCCAAAGACCACTGACTCAAATCACTGATCATGCCTGATTGGGAGGAGAATATGTAAATGAATTTTGGGAACTCATTGTCATATATATATGTAAATCTTGTACATCAGCTATGCCACTAACCCCGTGTGGCACACACATGAGGAGGAGCGATCCCTGTGCACCCAGCGTTGCAATGAAGAATACCTGCTTGATAGTTATCAAGACTATTGAGTCCTGATTTCAGCTTTTCACGCCTTCAGCACTTACTGAAAAGAGGTTTCAGCAGTCTGCTGGATTGGAAGCTACAGAAGTTTAAACAACATTTCTAATCACTCCAGCAGAACACACATAGCTTCAGCAGAAATAAACAAAGACATTTTGCTAAGTGTCCATAACAAAGCAAAAAATTACTCTGGATTTTTTTTTTTTTTTTACTTTTCAAATAAGCATACTGACATGGCAATACGGATGACTAGCTAATGTAACAAGAAATACTTAGGACATTGTAAAAAAAAAAAAAAACCCCAAGAGTCAGACAAATCAACTTTGAATTTGGTGGACTGGAATATGAGTTTCATCCCAGAGCGCAGCCGCTTGCCTGGCACAGGCTGGGGGGTGTTTCAGGCCTGTGGATATACCAACACAAAGCCCCGCAAAGGACTTACCAAACCTCCAATTACAACTGGCAGTGAGACAAAGTGGGCTCCTTGCAATTACTCATGCAAGTCTTTGTTTAGTGAATTAACAGCCCTCATCTACTAAACAATGTTTTCCTAAACCCAAAAATCTTTTAGGTGAGAATGCCCAGGGATCCTCGGTTAGGAACTGCTGTATTTAACTCCATCTGTCACCAAGCAGAGTAGAGGTATCGGTGAAGGACGTGGTTTTAAACTTACAGCGCTGGCTTTTCTGCCTCTCCCCTCCACTTTTAAACAACCGATCAAAAACTTAAGGATAAAGTAGATTAACTCTGCTTTTTCTCCTTAACGTTCCTTCGGGGCAGAAGTCGCCTGGAATTTCAGTAATCTCACAGAGGAGACACGCAATCAATCTCCAATAAAACTGTGCTGGTGTCCCCAGACACTACCTACACTTTCATGATTTTGTAAGAAGTATTACAATCAAATATTCTTCCAGGAACACACAGAATATGCACAGTTTAGTAACGGACTCAATATTTCTTTCATCAGGCTTTAAAGTAGCGATAGTGCTATCTATTCCATAGAACTCGTGTCTCGAAGCAGAGAGCAAGAAGCAGCAGCAATACTTTTAGAATTTCCGTGCAGAAACCTCCTCTCAATAACAGGCACAGCACGCAGAATTCACCAAGTTGAATGTAGAAAAAATTCATTTCAAGAAGTCAAATGCAACAGAACACTTAAAAATAAAAGTCCAGGATTGCATAGTATTGTGCCGACAAGAAAGCGTCAAAAAGGTGACTTCATACCTGCAAGTTCCACCCATTTTCATTTAAATTTAAGTGGTGGTGGCAGGGATATGTGTTTATGTATTTTTTTTTAGCTTAGATTGACTGAGAAGTTGTTAATGTCCAAATAATATGATTCTAATATTTAATATTTTTCTTTACAAATTATCCAATTTCATAGCAAATAAAGCAACCAATTAAAGACATTTCACAAAGCGTAATCGATTTTGAGAAAATTCAAACGCATACTTCGAAAACTACCTATGGTCACTTCTCTGCAGCTGGCAGTATTGGGAAAATGGATTGGTTTATCCATAATATGCCAGATTCTTGCTTAATATTTGTTTAAAAATACAGTAATCCAATTACACAGGAAAAAAAAAAGCACCTATGACAACAAGCAATATCCTTTTCGTTTGGAAAAATAACTGAATTTTTAAGTTATTTTTAAGATCGTGTAGTTAGTTATATGATTGAAAGGACAAAGTGAAGTCTTCCAAGGAATTCTGGGTAAGGACTGCCATGCAACAGACCCATCACCAAAAGGTATTCTCCTTTCAAATTCTTGCAAAGTTATCAACTCAACAGAAGCGTAACCCCGAAGTGCTTTTTAAAGGAGGCCAATGATTTATCCTGGGGAAGAAACTGAGGATCAGTGGTTTAACACGTATTTCCGACGCGAGGAACAGCCTCAGACACGATTTTTGTCTCTCGTCAACAGCAAACGTGTTACAAGAGCAGCTGCACTAGTTAGAATTAATCCTGTTTCAATCCTATTAGAGATTCAAGTACGTTCCTTCTTCCATATGCTGAACCTAAACTCCTGAAGAACAGGATGCTAATTTACAAGGAAAAACACACATATTTCATAAATTTCTACTCCCTCTTCTTGTGGATCCCCCACAGATTTACAGTCCTCACTGCCCTCAGGAGTCAACGGTACGGTTCCGACAGGTTACTCCGGAATTCATTGCAAGTGCTAAATCCCTGCTGGTGTCCTATGGACGCGCAGGAGCACACGACCTGTCCTGTGAATGACTGCTCTGGAAATTACAAACACAAAAACTCGCAGCTTCTGCCAAGGCTCAGTTTTCATGAACTCCTCTTTAGTAAAATTCCATTGCTAGAAATACGTGGAGGGAGATGAGATGCCCCATCTGCATTTGAGACTTGATCCTCATGTTTTCATAATGTAGAGAGAATCTCTTTTAAAGCGATTGTTTCAGCCAGAGTTAAGAGTTTAATAGCAAGCTTACAAGTAAGTGTCTTTCACCAACGAAAAAAGAATCATAGAGCATCAATTCTCTTGTAGGTCAAACGACTTCTGATAAAAGAGGTTCTTAATGTGTTTACTTTGCTTTTCTCTTCCACAGACCGGAGACGTTTTATATTAGTTTTGCTGCAGAAACCATACCAGTCTCAAGCTTCGTTATGGCAAAGGTCAAACTCTAAGATAACTGAAACTAATTCAGAAACCACTAAAGCACTACAGAAACAAAGTACTTCAGACCCTGGTGTTTTGTCTGTTTGAATTGGAAAAAATAATTTAGAAAGTGTAGAGAAACAGGTGAGGCCAAATAATTCTAAAAAAAAAAAATAAAAAAAAAAATCTATGACCTTCAAAGACAGCTTAGACTTGGCACTTACCCCTCAGAGCAGGCAGTAGAGACCTCTCTTTCTTGTCATCACATTTATTACATTCACTGAAGTACAGAAGTAAGAAGACATCCACGAGCACCCACATGAGAGAAGTGGCTAGGACCACCTTGCAGTAAACAAATCTCCTCATTGCTTTACTTGGTTTCGAGCTCAAACGCCGAGGAAAGGCAGCAGTTGCTGAGATGTATCAAGCTCCCACAGTTAAAATCCAACACGGAAGCAAAGGCAAGCGTCCCCCTGCGAGCAAAGAAAAAAAATGTCTGAATTAGCTAACACGTATGCAGAGTTTGAACTGAAAAGTGGATAGGGAAGTGTGGAGATGGTTGAAGTATCTGTTCCTTGCCAGATGTGCAGGTACTTTCTGGTTTCTGCCATCCTCCTATGAATACCGACCATTTCGACTCACAGTGTCATGGGCAGTCTATGTAACTTGCCTTCATTCAGAAAACACATGGGGTTTATATATATACACACACATACACATACATATGTATCTCTGTAGATCCCTTTCATGCAACATAACAAACTTTCATCAAGATTACACAGAAACACAACAAAGCACACTTAACAGCTCTGATATTCATCATTTTGTTGAACATTAGGCAGGTATTATCAACACAAAGAACAAAACTGAAATTTTTGTTTTCCTCAAATAATATCTTTATAATTGTATTTTGAATACAGCCTCTGAGCACTACAAGCAAATTAATTTCTATCGTGCAGAAGAATTTTGAACGCCATCTTACTACCGCCAAAAATGCCTTGCAAAGGAACGCGTCAGCCACCCACCCACGTATTTAGGGTCTCGCCTGCAACGCCAAGTTTGGCCAGCAAAAGCTCAGTGTGAGGGCCTCCGTATCTACTCCCAAGGCAGATGTGCGAGTTAGATGACCGTATTTACAACCTGACGCCTACCAGCATAAGCGGCGTTGGACGTCAAGGCTGGGCGTTCCGCTTTGGCCATGCTCCCAAAGCGCTCTCCTAGCACTGAGCCGCTGGGTCGCTTTCCAAGTGCCTACAAAAGACAACAAACAGAAGGAAGCCCTTATCACTTGACTGCCTTTTCCAGCACACACAGAAGTTTCTTACAATCAAAAAAAAGCTCTCGTAAGTTTTGTCTGCATTTTGACCTACCTATCTTAATTAAATGCAATTTTATACATAACACTTTCCCATCGTAGGTCTGAAAAACCTTCCGCTTTGCAGTCCAGCAGTATCACGACCGGTAACTCCCCTGGTTTAACCCGCTCCTGGCTCAGCTTGCTTTCGGCATCGCGGCACCCTTGCCACACCACCTCGCCCCGCCACGTTCGCTCTGGTAGAAGGGACTTCTGTCCCTCCCAAAGTGACGTCCCCACGGAGCACACCGTCACATCAACTCCCACAGCACCCAGGGAGGCGCCAAGCGGACACCCCGCCCAAGTTGCTGTTCTTGCTTGAACAACAACGTGGTGAAAAACCGTGCCGAGGGAAAACCCGGTGAAAAACAGCGCTGAGGGAGCTCCCACAATTATCATTTCAAACAGCTCCCAAAGAGAAGAGGTCTACATTACATTTTAATTACAGTTCATGGGAGCCAAGGAGATGGAAGAGGTGGGACGATTTAAATACAGTTTTTCAAATTATTCTTGAAGCGCTATTCTACTACGTAATCATTAGCAGAGTCTTCCATCTGTCTTAAACCCAAACACAACCCATAGCTCCTTTCCCTGCTGGAGCGATCTGCAGCCCGTTGATTCAAGATTTCAAGGGCTCAGGAATCCTCATTTCAGGTTAGCACAATTCATTTTCATGCTAGTCAACAGGAACGGTTTAATTATAGGAAGAAAATTACAAAGAAAAAAAACAAATTAACGGAGATCTTTATTAGGAAAAAAAAAAAAAAAAAAAAGAGCGGAGCAAAGAGCTGAAGTGTTCATTCTCCCCACGCAGCCCCTGTCACCATGGCGGCTGTAATTGGCTTTCCTAGCGTTGGGTACAATAGTTATTTGTTCAGCACCAGCTGAGATACAAAGGCACTTCCTCCCCAAGCTCTCTATAATACAGAAGAATTTTTTTTCTTCTTTGGTTCAGGTTTTTTTTTGGTTTTCTTTTTTTGTTTGTTTTTTTTTGGGGGGGGGGGGTGGGGTTTTTTTTTTTTTTGGTTTTTTTTTTTTTTTTTTGCTCTGCAATGATGACAAGCAATTAAGAACCTGGAATGCTCCTGTTTATTCCCTCTAGGAATAAAAGCAGTTTAGCGTACTTAGTCACTGTACTCACAATCATTAGCCACTGTGGCAAAGAGGGAACCAGGGCGAGGCAACAGGCCATAGCCAAGTGCGCGGCAGCGATGGAAAGCTTCCTTTTTACAATAGTTAGCACGCGGATTCAATATTCCTCCCCTTTCTTAAAAAGAAAAAAAAAAAAAAACCAAAGCCCACTCGCACCTTTCGAAGCCCGGCTAACTGGGGGTCCCTCCGCCCCCACGGACGCACGGCACCTCGCTCCGGGGACGGGCAGCGCAGCTGCCAAACGCCTTCGGCCTCAACCTCCAACCGTTAATCCAGCCCTGGGGTGCTTCCCTACAAACACGAGGGTTACTGGTGGCAAAGAACCAGGCTTCCTACTCTGCGTGTCCTACAAATACCTTTTTTTTTTTTTTTTAAAAATAGAAGTTAAATAACTATTTCATTGCCCGGGGAAAACCCACCAGGAGCCATTGCAACTCATCAGCCTGTACCGTCCCAGCCCACTGCTCTGCAGCCCTACACATAAATGCCTGTAGGAAACCCGACCTGCCGATGAGGATGAGGAGGCCGGGGAGAACGCCCTTTCTTTCCTGGGAACGCAAGTTTCAAGTTCATGCTACAAGAGCTATTGACTGGGGGGGGAGCTTTGCAGCTGAATCCGGCAGCTCGCTCCTCGGCGGTACCTGCCGGGAACACGGCGTTTCCTTCACGTGGGATGAGGAATTAAGATCAAACGGGAAGGCAGAACCGGGCACTGCCCCAACAACGCAGGCGCCGCTCACGTTAATCCGCCCCGGCACCGGCCCGAGAGCTGCGGGCTCCACCTGGCCGCATCGCAAGCAATCCTCAAATTAGCTTCTGTTTCCATTCGGGTTCGTTTGGACAAATAAGCAAAAATCCATGCATACTGAATTCCAAATGGATACACATAGCTCAATTAGCCGCTCTTGGTGATCTTTATCCTTCAATCAAGTGCTTGAGTTCAATTTGGAGAAAAAAAGAAAAAAAAAAAAAATAGTTTCAGACAGAATGATTTTTTTTTTAATAAAATGAAAGTTTATAATTTGGATTTTTTTTTCCCCCCCACCTAGCTCTGTTTCAAGATGGAACTGTCGCCCCTCTCCCTTTCTTCCCCTTCCCTGAACTTCACATTTGCACAAAAAATTCACAATCCTTTTGACCAGCCAAGATAGCATTTTTCATCGAGTATTAGAAATAAACATATATGCAAAGCTAGGGCTAGGCAAACAGGAGCAACGTTCTCCTTCTCCAACTCGAGGTAACACAAAACACAGAAGACAATACAATTGTGGATTTCAGTCCCCATAAATGCTTTATATTACAATTCCTTAAGAGATCATTTCATTAATACATCTTAAAAAAACCTATCAGATGCAGAGGTTTACACCAAGAACAAGATACAGCTGCCAACCCAAAAAACCCAAAAGACAGCAGCGTGCCTTTGGCTGCCTCTCCAAGATTTCTTAACAGGCAGTAAGAAGCTTAAGCAAAGACTCGTGGCTATAGTAAGAATCAGGCTAAACATTTTCTCCACCTTCGTCCCCAGAACAGACGCCACTGACTTGGAGCGCAAGGCACTCGCGACCAAAGCGCGGCTCGCACGTGCGCGGCTCGGCTCCTATCACGCGGGGAAGACATCAGCGCTACGCGAGGGGGCTGCTGGAAGTCCAAGCACTCAAGAAAACCCCAAAAAGAAAGAAAGATGCTCACCAACACTTACACTAGAGAGAAAGAGAAAGCTGGCTAAGTGGCGGAGTGGTCTGTCAAGTGATAAGCATGATCTTCATGTCTTGACCAAACGGACTAAAAGTATTAAAACTGCAAATATGCCACACGTAGAAATTTCACGCAAGGCGTTAACTGAAGGCTTCGAGCCAGGGTAACACCTTTCTGAAGCACCAAACGGGGCTTTTTATAACATTTCTGATGATCGGCTTGATCTGGGCTCCTCTAAGGAGCCTCCACCCATTTCATGGGCCAACTGTTTCTCCTCCAACTGCTTGCTGTCTTCACGCTTTAGTAGTGAAACTTGTGGCAATTTCAGGCTCTGCTGGGGACTTAAGAGACATAAATTGCAGCAACACGGGGGTGGGGGTAAGGGGAGGTCTGACACAGCGGCCCTTCAAGCACTGCACACAAAAACTGTATGCAGAAGGAACTTCAATAGAACTTTATCTCCACACATTTTCAAATGGCCAGTTCCTGTTAATCAGTGCGAGCATATCCTTGAATGGCCCCTTAATCTGTTGCCACTCTTAAAACTCAGTATGAATTAAGTGTCCTAATCCTCAAGGAAGACAGAAATAAGCTGTTTACAAAAGTTCCTCCAAAGAAAACCAGAATTGCCCAGTTTATCACTCAGCACTTTTACTGATTTAATGGCGAAGCACAGTTAAAGAGTCCTAGAGTCCACCTACATCCTAAAACTGTGATTATGTCTTCCAAATTAATATCAAAACTACTCTGACCTCAGCCTGATCTGCCAAACCTGTGGGACTGCAGCCTGTGCAAAGCAACTTCTGTTAGCCATCTACACCCCCAGGAACAGCAAAATGACTGATGGCGCCTGGATGCTTCGATAAGAAAGGATAAAAACTGCAAATCAGTATTATGAAAGTATTGTTTCACAGAATCGTTTAGGCTGGAAAAGCCCTTTAAGCTCCCCCAGCCCAACCGTTCCCCTACCCCTGCCATCCCACCCCCAAACCCTGGCCCTCAGCACCGCCTCTGCCCGGCTGTTAAATCCCCCCAGGGCTGGGGACTCGGCCCCTTCCAGCACCTGGCAGCCCTTTTGGACATTAGGAAAAATTCCTTCCCCAATCTAAAAATCCCAGTCAATTTCTGATGGAATGAAATCTAAAAGAGCGCTAACCATCACTTT